TGAGACGGAGGTCAACTGACCAAGTATCAAGTTCGATCCAGCATAATCAAGTTTACAATGCTCTCTGCAAGACTGTGAATCTTTATGGGAACAGACATCCTCATCTTTCTCCCTTGGAGCAATTGGTGGATTTGAACTGCCAACCTTACTGTTAGCAACTCACCTAGCCACCAGGACTCTTTCTTAATTGGGCTAGAGCAATGTCCTACATAGAAAATGTACTGAATGTCCTGTGTGTATTACTGCTGTCCAAATGTATATATAGGCCACTCCACAAAGCTGTGAGAATCATTATGTAGTCATAAGAGGAAGTGCTTTGAAAGCCCAACCTTGCTTAAAACCTACCTGTATAACACAGATGCAGTAATAAGCCTCTATAGAGACTTACACCTTCAAGATCTTTGCTCCCCAAGCATTTTCTCTAAACAGTTCTATGAACCCACTTATACAGTAGAAGAGAAGACTCTACTCTCCATGTTGTATAAATGTGGCCCTTCACTGGACTTGTTCTTCCAGAACTTGATGCTAATGGAGTTGTCCCAATCTAAGGGTAAATTCTACAGTGAGCTAAGAAACAAAAACAAAAAACCTCACTGGCATTAGAGTGGATTCCAACTGAAAGGGCCCTATAGTATAGGGTAGAAGTACTTCCTAGGACAGGGGTCCTCAAACTACGGCCCGCATGCGGCCCCCCGAGGACATTTCTCCGGCCCGCTGGGTGTTTTTGCCGTTTGATTTTTTACTTCAAAATAAGATATGTGCAATGTGCATAGGGATTTGTTCAACTATAGTCCGGCCCTCCAACGGTCTGAGGGACAGTGAACTGGCCCCCTGTTTGTAAAGTTTGAGGACCCCTGCCTTAGGAGATCAGACAGCCTCATCTTTCTTCCAAAGAGTGGCTGGAAGACTTGAACTGAGCCCTCGTGGTTCAGTAGTTCGAATCCACCAGCTGTTCCAAAGTAGAAAGATGTGGCTCTCAACTCCCGTCAGCACTTGCAGTCTTGGAGACCACGGGGTAGTTCCTGTTCTGTAAGGTCTCCGTGAGCGGGAATGGACTCGACTGCAGCGAACTGGGTTCTGAGTGAGCCCAACGCTTCATGCGCACCGCCACCTGGACTCCCAGTGTGGTGGGCCCCTTTGATGACGGGTGTTTCCCAAGATTTCGTTTCAGAGCTAACTCCCTTAAAATTAGTTGATTACTAATAGACCCATTAATGTTAACATGACATGTGTCATATAGCATCTGTAAAATTCCACTGTACTGTCATGAGAGAATGAGAACAAGAAAAGCTTGTGAGGTAAGTAGCGTTTAGTATCATGAAGTGTCTTGACCTCATCAGACCAAACCAAACTCACTGCCATCAAGTTAGTGCGGACTCGTCGTGACCCTGTAGGACGGTAGAGCTGCCCCTGTGTGTGTGTGAAACTGACTGTGTACAAGAATGGAAAACGCTGTCTCTCTTTCTCCTAAGGAGCAGCGGGTGGTTTCAGACTGCTGGCCTTTGGGGTCATAGCCCAAAGGTCATGAGGGACCATGTGGCTCATGAGTCATAGTTGGATACATAAAAGGGAGCCGAATGTCCTCAAAACCCTCTTTCCAGACGGCGAGATGGAAACAAGCTCAAGGCCGTAGAGTCAGTTCCAACTCACAGTGCATGGGGTTTCCAAGACTGTAAATCCATATGGGAGCAGAAAGCCTCATCTCTCTCCTCCCGGGCAGGAGACTAGTGGACTCGAACTGCTTGACCTTGTAGTTAGCATCCCAGTGCATAACCCAAAATACCACCAGGGCTCCTCGATAACAAGGTAGCTCCTGGCTTTCTTGCACGAAGGGTTTCTGGAAGTAAAATTCAGTCACAGTCTAAAAAACAAAGCTTTGGGTTTGCCAGGTCCGCTTTTAAGCGACTATGGGAACTGGGTAGGGACTGCACCCCTCTTGGACCTTAGCCATAACACCATACTGAGTTTCCCATCCGGAAAACCTAGGCTCACAATCAGAGAGATCACCCCGCCATGCCAGCCACAGAACAGAGTTGAGTAGTTGTACTCAGTCCCACACTGACTGAAGGACGTCTGGTCGGTGAATGAGCCCGGGATCCACTGGAGCCTACCAGCCCTCTGCTAGATCCTTTCCAAATCAGGCAGGCTGCTGGAGGAGGTCTGGATCCACAGTCAGTCCTGACACTGAATGAAGACCTGCTGTGTGGGATTGTCTCAGTGAGTGGGAAAATAGATTTCAAACACCAGTAATTCAGCGGATAGAAGACTTAACATCATTCTGTTAGCAGAAGTCAAGAGTTCTGAAGATATGCAGTGGCATTATGGAAGTTAATGTCAACTAAGTGACACTGAAAGTTAATGAATCTAAGGACGATGTTAAAACCCAGAACTGAAATTAGCTATAAGAAAATGCTTAAGTATACAGCAGAGAAATTATCATGTTAATGATACAGTTCAAGCGGGTGATGCTGCTGAAGTGAAAGAGAATTAATTCATAGTCGTTCTGTTTTAGGGAAGTGATTCAAAGATGGAGGGAGTCTCCTGCACCTGACACACACACACACACATGTATACACTGCAATCATTTTTAGAAAGTTTCTTTTTCCTGGACTGCAGGATGTGAATATATTAGTATATTTTAGATTAAATACATTCTAAAAGTTATTCCATATTCCTGAAACCCCTAAAACTAGATTATGTACATTGAATTTTTGCAAAGGTCCAGGTTTCCATTCTAGATATGTCCCAATAACGAATACGTAGTTGTTCTATTTTCCTTATGACCTACCTGTTCAGAAGGTACTTATTGCCACCCAGTCAGTTCCAGATCTTTGGGACCCTCTTTGGATTTCCAAGATGGTAAATCTTTGTGAACAGAACGAGAACCTCATCTTTCTCCAACTAGCAACTGGTGGTTTCAAACTGCTCACCTTGTGATTAGCAGGCCAACACATACCCCACTGTGCCACCAGGGTCCGAGGAGAGAGAATGCTATATTCACACTGGTGTTTGAAGGCCTGTCTTACTGGGTGCTTCCAACCTCCAGAGTTGTCAGGCACCAAACCCCTGGTCGCTGCTAATTATGCTGCTGAGCCAGCCCTTCAGGAGAGTCCGTAACCAAAATGAGTGGTGGCTGTGACTGTCGTTTCTCCTCAGCCTTTCTCCCGCCTCTGTATCCCCATGGCTTTGTCGTTCAGACTTCCAAGCCCATAATTACGCATGAAACATGCAGTTTTGTTGTCTTTAAAAGCAATGACCAGGTGAGGCTGGGGATCCGATCAGTAGCGGTGGAAATTTCATAATATAAGTATTTGACTGTGTGATAAAGCTATTTGTAATCATCTTAAAAAGTGCTTCCAGGTCATCTGTCACAGCAGGGTCAACCTTTCTATGTCCCTTTTCCCTCAGCTGTCCACTGAAATCTAGAGCCTCAAGCTTTCAGCATCTTCCGTCCTTTTTCCAGTGGCTGCTCTGTAGGGCCATTGCCTCTCCTGGAACCGTCGGCACGTTCACCTCAGCACCCACTCAGAAACTTCTCCTTCACTCGCTTCCAGTCCACACCCCCTCTGCACCCTGTCGAGCCATCTTCCTCCCGTCCTCATTTATCCAGTTTCAGAGTTTCCTCCTTGCCCTATCTCAACTACTCTTAACCTTCCCCAAACTGTCCTCTCGTAGCAGCAAAAAACAAATGGTTAAAAGAGAAGGTTGGGGAAATAACGTGGGAAGCTTGCTTTTCATTAGAACTGCTTCTGAATGGTTAATTTTTTTTTCTTCAAAGTTTTATTGGCACATAATTTACATCATACAGTTCAGTGGTTTAAACATTAAAAAGAGTTGTACACTTATCACCACAATCTATTTTAGAACATTTTTTCCTTTGTTCTACTCATTCGAATACGTCCTCATTTCCCCAAACTTCCCCTGCCTTAACTGTAAGGAACATTTAATCCAGTTACTGTCTATATTGATTTACCTGTCCTGGATTTTGTATGAAAAAACGCACAAAACAAAAACCTAACAATAACATGATAAAAGAGAAGAACCTCAATCAAAAAGAAAGCAGAAAATAATAAGAACCGAACAGATTTTAAGCTGGTCAAAAGGTAGAACAAATGATCGGGTTACCCTAACTACATCTGCAGTGGTCCACTTGCCATGGCTTCTGCTTGATGGTGAGACTGTTCACATCTCCGGTCAGTGAGCGGAGGGAATTCACGGGGGTTTCATCTCCATGGGAACCCCGCAGATGGATTGGGGCTTTCCTTGTCCGTCAGAGCCGCTGCAAACCGGGGCTCAGAACCTAAGCTCTGATACAGTTCCCTCCTCTGTCTTATGTTTTATTATTTACCACCCTTGTGTCACACAGGCTGGTGTGCGTCTTCTGTGTGCACTTAGCTAACACCTCCCTTAGGTGGCTTCTTGTGTTTGACAAGCCTGTAAGACCCTGGATGTGATTATTTCTGGTTGTCAGGCGCAGTCTGATTTTTTTTTTTTATCGCACTACTGTATCTTGAATATGAATGGTTAAACTTTTTAACCTTAAGTTTATTCTTTGATGAAAATGAATCAGTCATTCTTGATAACTGCAGAGACATCAAAAATATAAAATAATTATATTCCCAAGTTCTTAGCATATTTTAGACCTTTGATGATGCCCTGTCACCTTTTAATAACAATATAACTTCACTTATATGAGGGGGATTGATTTTATCTTTGGAAAAAATTCTCTTTGATTTCAGTTTTTATCAACAATCTCAGAAGGCCCCTGTGCTATTGCACATGCTGGCCCATCTTCTGGGAGTGCAGATTATGCTGGTACTGATTCAGGTCATTTCAGAATCTCCTCTGGGCCTGGGTTTTGCACAGGGCCCATAGCTGCCCTGGAATGCTTGTGACTGGCTGCCCAGCAGTGCTCTGCCTAGACTGAGCATGTAGGGCTCTTATATGAGCCCAGGTGGACTAATTAAATCCTTTGGCTTGCCCTTGTTTTTTGTCTACAGCAATCTGAGCTATCAGCTGAAGATAGCCCAGAAAAATTGGGAGGCTCCCAGCTACAACGTCGGAAAATTATTTCCTTGAACAAACAGATTCTACAGAAGACCAAACATCTGGAAGAGGTTGGTGTTTTCTTATTATAATTTTATCCAAGTGAAATGAAACCGTGCTTCAAAGAAGGTAGCAATTTGGAAAGAATTAAGATATTCATGCAGGCTGGATAAAAGGGTTCTAGAACAAGAATCAACGTTCTGTGACCCTCAGTGAGCTGTGGCGTGAGCACACGCACACCATTTGCTTCCACATTGTCCGTGGCTCCTTTCAAGCTGCATGGGCAGTTGAGTACTTCCATCAGAGACAACAAGGTTTGCAAAGTCTAAAATAATTATTATCTGGCCCTAATAGAAAGTGTATGCCAACCTCTCTTTTATAACTGGTCTCCAGAATTCCTTCCACTTCTGGTAGTCTGTGATTCTGTTTGCCAGAAATCATCCAGGCAGCACTTGGCAAGCTATTTCGCATAAGCCTTTTTGGGCCTTCAAGCTCCTCACGGTCTATTCACCTGACTCCCCTATTAATTAGCAGATACTGAAAAGCAGGTTATAATGAATGTGTGTGTGTGTACATACACCATACATGTGTTGAATACATTATTCAAAGTAGGTTGAATACATGTAAATGATTTCTTATTAAATGCTTTCAGCACATTTTTCAAACATAAGATTAAATCCAAAACCAAACTCACTGCCATCGGGCCGCTTCTGACTCACAGCAACCTCCTGGGACAGAGCTGAACCGCCCCGTGGATTTCCGCAGCTGTGAATCTGTATGGGGGCAGAGAGCCTGGTCTTCCTCCTTTGGAGCCAGCTGTTGGTATAGCCCACTACACCGCCGGGGCTCTTCAAGGTGTAATTGCCCATGTAAATAAGCCAAACCGTGTAGAACTCTGTACAGACAGACGTGAACGTCCATGTCCGTCCTCACGGCCACACTCCTTAGCAAACCACTGTGGTCTGCCATGTGGTCTGCTAAACGGGTTCTTACCTTGGGCCTGTCCTGCCCTGCTCAGGCAGCCACAGGCCAGTCAGAGAGGAACTTGCTGCGTAGGTGGTTTTCAGTGGGTATGTGTTTGGGAGCATATAGTAGGCTTTCCCCGCCCACTGCACCCCCCCACCCCTGGCAAGATGCCTCTGTGGTGTCACGTCCCCAGCAGCTATAGATCTGTCTTGCTCTAACTCGTGCCAGGATCCTAAGTGTCAAGGGGCAGTTTGTGTCTGTGAATGGGCAAGCTGGTGAATTGTATTCACGGGAGCCATTTAGAAAGGCAGCTGGATGACCTAAATTTGATTCCTGGTTTTATCAGTCATCAACTCAGACATCAGAAAAGTAACCTAAGCCCTGAATCTTAATTTTCTCATCTATAAAAATCAGAAACATAACTTTTTTCATACTTTATGCTGAATACTTAGTACATCGCCTGGCATGTAAACCAAAAAAAATCTGTTGCCATTCGGTTGATTCAACTCCTGGTGACCCCATCTGTGCAGAAAACAAATGTGCCCAATAGGGTTTTCAAGGTTATGACTGTGGGACGTGATCACCAGGCCTTTCTTCCAAGGTGCGTCTGAGTAGTTTCAAAATGCCTAGTTTGGGTTAGTGGTCAGGTACTTAGCACCTGTGCTAGCCCGAACTGCTAGCTGGTGTCAATTCAGTGTGAAGGGTTTTATTGAGAGAGAGAGAGTGTGTGTGTGTGTGTTTTGTTGTCTTTTTCACTTGTTGGCAGGCCTTCTAAAATGCCCATGATTTCTCATTGTGAAGCCTTCTTGGAGTCCACCTTCTCATTTAAATGATGCCGATTGCACCTACCACTGTACTGTTGTGAAGATCACATAAGCAAGTGTCTTTTCTTTCTTGGTTTACAGCTGCAGGCAAATCATGCCAATTTACAAGCCAAGTACTGTGAGCGAAAGAAGACACTGGCAGAGGTGAGAAGAGTTTCTGTTCCTCTCGGTGCTTTGCCACTGGTGTCTCTGATAAGCACTAATGGGGTGCTGTGACTCACCATCCTGTGTGCTGCACACTGATCCCGTTCTCAGGGGACCTCAGACAGTTACATGTTGGTGTATGACTAGTGTCCGTCATTTGTCCGCATTGCCATGTTCTAAACCAGCGGTTCTCAACCTGTGGGTCATGACCCCTTTGGGGGTCGAATGACCTTTTCACTGGGGTCACCTAAGACCATCGGAAAACACATAATTACATACTGTTTTGTGATTAATCATTATGCTTTAATTATGTTTAAGTTCAATTCATAACAATGATAATACATCCTGCATATCAGATATTTACATTTATGATTTATAACAGTAGCAAAATTACAGTAATGAAGTAGCAACGAAAATAATTTTATGGTTGGGGGTCACCACATCATGAGGAACTGTATTAAAGGGTCGCGGCGTTAGGAAGGTTGAGAAGCAGTGTTCTAAACTATCAAGTGTTCTTGGTGGGGGACATCACCATGGGCTGCAAGAGTCAGGTCAAGTGTGGTCCTTCATAGTAAATGACCCCTGCTCCTCAAGCAGGTCTTACAGTGCTTCAAAAATGCCACCTTCCTTGCGAGTGGGAGGTCTTTTTTAAGGAACTAGAAGACCGGCGTGTTAACAGTTTGTGTTCTGAGTTACCTCCTCGGTGGGACCCACGAGGAAGAGTGGGTGGGGGGAGGTGTGGGGTGTGACTCATTTTCGAAGTCGAGGGGCACGTCTGCCATCTCCTATCATCACTCCCACGGTGCCAGGTGAGAACGAATGACTGCAACACTCTGTCATGAGGAGCGTTGGGCCCTGTCTGTTGCTTCGTGTCCACAGAGAGCCATTGTCACCAGGATCCGACAACTCCCTTCGTCACGAAACTTGTGTGGCTGCTGTAGCTGGGCTTTGAAGGGACCTCATGCAGTGACCCTTAGAGCTGTCCAGGCCATTTGGGAGTAGGGCTGGTCTCAGAGTGACCATCACCTCTGATACCAGCCCAGCCCCTAGTCTTCTACAGTCTACCTGAAAGTTGCCCATTAAAAACGCTTATTTCCGCAGCGTCTGCAGCATTTCACTTCTGACCCGAATTGGTCTGTTCAGTATGCCTCACAGTATTTGCAAAGGGCAGACACAAGAATGTCAGTTAGAATTTTTAAAAGGCTTTCATTATTGTGCCTGCCTTCCACTTGGACAGATCGCCTTCCCGAGTGCTGTCTGGTGGCATACTGGGTACACATTAGGATGCTCACCGCAAGGGCAGCGGCTGGAAGCCACCGTGAGAAAGATGAGTCTTTCTACTCATGTGACGCCTCAGCGCCTCAGAAACCCAGCTGGGCAGTTCGACTGCCCCGGTGGGTCACGCTGAGTGAGAATCGACTCAGTGGCAGTGAGAGGACCACATCCCTTGTGCCTTACATGGCCGGTTCCTAGGGACAGCAATCCCTGCCACCTTGTCTTTAATATGACAGGGTCCCGGGCATGACGTGTACAGAGTTAAAGATCAATCTGTGTGTAACAATCTGGAAGAGGGTAAGAGCCAACACCCTCAATATCAATTCTCTAAACATTTCGCTGCCTTCAGATGTGGCCCCTACCTGACTACAGAGTGGCCTTTTGCAGCTTGTGCTTGTGAGCACCTTTCCTGTGCTGCGCGTGGAGGGTGTGACTTGTCAGTAGTAAGAGCTGTGCATCCTCTCTTCACATGATAATAGCGCTGAATGAGGAACCCTGGGGGTGCAGTGGTGTATGCTGTTGTTAGGCTGAGATCCACATGGTCGGCAGTTCAAAACCACCAGTGGCTCTTTGGGAGAAAAACTGGGCTTTCTACTCCTGTAAACAGTTAGAGTCTCGGACCCCAGCAGAGGGTCGCTGTGAGTCAGCACTGACTGATGGTAGTGAGTTTGATTTGGTTTGGGTGTGCTCTGGCCGTATGGCTTGTGTTAGTCCATTGGATCTTCACGATGGCCCTTTCAGCAAACCGTTACAGCAGGTGTTCTGCGCAAGCAAAGAGGTTAAACAACTAACTTGCTACAGACCGTGTAGTCGGTTGCCAGAATTTGAAAGCAGACAGTCTGGCACAGAAGCTCTCTCACCTTGTATCTGATAGGGCAGTCAGATTAATTCCCTTCTAGATCGCTGGGCAGCTATATAGATGATGCTTGCTTCTCTAGGATGCAGAAGAGCGTGCCTTGCAGAAGTAATGGGCTTCACCTCTGCCCCTCAGCCTTCTGCTCGCTTCAGGACCCAGGGTTGGGCACACCATCTCATGCCAGTTTTACCTCCTTGGCAAAAGCTGCCCTTCTGAGTTATCCTAGTGACACTGAAAATGGGGACCCCAATCTTTTTGCTGCGTGTAGGAAAAGCACAGCATGAGTGGTGGAGGACAGACGGCCTGCATGACGTGGAGGAGGCTGTTTCAAGGTGGCGGCAGCCATGGCTGGGTCTGCTCTGCTGTGGGCAGCTATGCCCACTTCAACTGCCACAGTGTGATTTGCTCTGTGCAAGGTTGTGTTTTATAGACACAGGTTAATCTTTTTTTTTTTATCGTTTTATTAGGGGCTCATACGACTCTTATCACAATCCATACATACATCAATTGTGTAAAGCGCATTTGTGCATTCATTGCCCTCGTCATTCTCAAAACATTTGCTCTCCACTTAAGCCCCCGGCATCAGGTCCTCATTTTTCCCTCCCTCCCCACTCCCCGCTCCCTCATGAGCCCTTGATAATTTATAAATTGTTATTTTGTCATATCTTGTCCTGTCCGACGTCTCCCTTCACCCACTTTTCTGTTGTCCGTCCCCCAGGGAGGAGGTCACATAGAGTTCCTTGTAATCGGTTCCCTCTTTCCAACCCACTCTCCCACTGCCCTCCCAGTATCACCGCTCACACCTCTGGTCCTGTAGGGATCATCCGCCCTGGGTTCCCTGTATTTCCATTAGACACAGGTTCTAAAGACCTTTATGAGCTGCTGCTTCCAAGTGACCATTCATTCATTGAGTTGATAACATTTTTTTTTATGGTTTTATCTTTCTCTAAAGGATTGATAATTCTTGGTTGTGTGCTCACCTTTAATTTTGAAGGTCCTTGTGGATACGGGGTCCGTTTTCTGCAGCCTACGTTATGTGATTATTCTAGAAGAACGGGGCCCACGATTTGGGATAGTCTTGGATGGGTAGGGTCTTTCCCATCATCACCTGACTATTCCCAGCTGTGTGGGACCCCCCCCAACCCCCAAGACTCCGCACCAGCTCTTGCATTCAGTGAGACATGGTGTGTTGCCTGGCTGTCCTTCAGCAGATGCCAGCCCTGCAGACCGTCTTATGTCCTTGAACTCCAGAACGTAGTCTTGAGTCCATTCCAGTCTGCTGGCCGTTGTTCTTATCCCCTGAGACGCTCCACTCTGGCTCCAGCGTCACAGTTTGGTTTTGGGGACTTGAGACCGACAGAATAGCTGTGACCTGATTTGTTCTCAGCTGGAACCTTAGGAAACTTTTTTTAAAACTTATTTTTTGAATAGGCAACATTCATATGATTCAGAATTCAAAAGGTAGTTTATACCTGGTAACCCAACTACCCAGCTGCCTACTTGGGCAGCCAGAGCACCCAGTTTCAGGAGTGTATGCCCACGCAAGCAGCTACATGTACGTAACATTTTTAGTCATTTACACAGTCAGAAGCATGTCATGCCCATAGTTTTGAACCTTGTTTATTTTTTTTACCTAGCAGTAGGTATTGGAGAGTTTCTATAGCAATACAGAAATAAGCTGATTCTTTTTTTAATTGCTGCTTAGCATTCTATTATCATCTGTGATGACTATGTAACTGGTCACTTTATACAGAGAAATCTGAGTTTTTTGGAAAAGTCTTTTATTGAAACCTCCACCTGCTTCACAAGGAGCTCTGGGATGCATGTTTCAGCACTTGACCCCGGCAGCCTCCCGCCGGGAGGAAGAAGTGACAGTCTGCTTCCGGAGGGATGACCGCCTGGGAAGGCCCATGGGGCAGTCCTGCTTTGTTCTGCAGGCTCGCTAAGATTTAACTTGAGGATTAAGGTTTGTGTTTGGTGTTATGTTCCTTGAGGCAAAATCATCCAAGAAGGACAGAGCTTAACCGTGCCCCTGCTAATAGTCATAATGCTGGTGTTCTGAGATCTAAACCCAGGATTGTCTGACTTCCGTAACCACTGCTTGCTGCTGAAAAGCACCTGCTTTGCTCATTCACCTGTTGGCTGCTGTAATTTAACGCCATTGCCAAAGTTTCTGTGGTCATCAGTGTGGGTCAAGAAGGATCTGGTCTTAAACTTCCCATCATGGCTCTCTACCTCCATCCCATTGCTCATCTCCACCTATATTCTCAATGTACTGTACCTGAAGTGGTGTCCAGATGTGAGCTAAGGGGGGGGGGGGGGCGCGGTTATTACTCACTGCCATCAAGTCAGTGCTGACTCATAGTGACCCCATGTGTGTTTCCGAGACTGACTTTATGGGAGTGGAAAGCCCGGTCTTTCTCCTGAGAAGCTGCTGGTGTCTCAGTCTGCCAACCATGTGGATTGCAGCCCGGTGCGTAAGCACTGCCCCCCCCAGGCTTCTTTAAGAGGGAAAGGAGGAGCGCTTACTCTTGTATCCCACCAAGCAGCGGAGCCTCCATTCTCTCCTGCAGTTACAGAGCCACAGCGAGAAACTGGACAAAGAACAGGCAGCCCTCGAGAAGATAGAAGCCCAAGCTGATCCCAGGTAAGAGGCTTGCTTCCTCCTGCATTCATTCTCGATTTGGAAAGTGTGGGTTTGCCTTCAGTGCCTGGTTGAATGTGATGGAGCACTGGACTGAGGAGCCAGGAGTCACTGGTTCAGGCTCAGACAGCTCCATCGATTTCAGTTGCTGATCCCGACTGCTGTCTGTCAGACTTCTGCCCTTGACCCTCCGGACCCACATTGTTCAGGTGCCTGCTGACATGCTGGACTTGCGTTGTTAGCCGCCCTCTTCCACCCAGTTCCCCGTGATCACAAACTCTTTAAGAAACCCGAAGCTACACATTTGCACTACAAAAGGTACCAGGGCTTTCTTGCCCCTTGGCCACCCAGTTCTGTCTCTCAGACTCGGTGGCTGTCTGCAGTGTTGGCACTCAGTTAACCCATCTTCTTGGGAAGGAGGTGCACCCTGTTTGGGGTCAAGTAGTGCCTTTGTTTTCTCTTTTCCCTCGTAAAAGTCGTCACCTTGAGGGGAGAGAGGGGAATCATGTGCATTTGACCTTTGATCCCCAAGCTCTTCAGAAGGTAAATCCTTCTAGGCGTCACTCCTTTGAAGGGGAGCGTGAAATCATAAGTAGTTTCAGACACAGAATGAGCAGTTCTGGGTTTAATGGACATTGTTAGTCAAGAAATGCCCCCAGAGTCCTTGGCTCTGTCGGTAGAAACCCTCTGTTCGTGATGTGGAACAAAGCCTTGTCAGACCCTTGACAGCCTCGTCCATCAGAGTAGTGCTTGCAGTGGCCTTCAGCAACGTGTTGTTGCCTTTCCGAGCGGATATTAAACGTAGTTGGGTTGCCTGCTCTGCTAGTAAGTGGCGCCGAGTATATGCAGGACACTCAGAACGCCTTGGTGTTTCGGCGCTGTCTGACAGTTGGGAATCCGTAATGTTTGTTTGGATGTGGCCTCCGGGGCTTTGTCTAAATGACAGTAATGTCAGCTGAGAAGAAGTTGTCACCACGTGTGGGGAAGCCATTAAACATTCTTGGGGGAGACAAAGGAAATTTAAAGGGGCGGCCCCTTTTAGCTGGGGATCCGGTTTTAGCGGCCATGCTTAGCCTCGTAATGACCTGTTGGGTGTCATGGTTTTGGTCATTTCTCCACAGTATCCTGCAGAACTTGAGAGCACTTGTAGCCATGAATGAAAATCTCAAGAGTCAGGAGCAGGAGTTCAAAGCACATTGTCGGGTAAGTGCTGCTTGGTGTTGGCAGACAGTGAACTAGGATAGGACTCGTGTCAGATCCCTCAGTCGTAGTTGCTGCCTATCTTCACGGTGCCACCGTAAAGGGGGACTTAGGAAGAAGTCACAAATCCCTCGTCTACAGTGGCTAGAGTACGACTGTCCCAGGCTCCCTCTGAGGACAACGCGAGTGAGTAGGGTAGTAACTGCATGCCAAGTCCGAAAATTGAAGCCAGAGTCTGAATAAAGTCAGTGTTTTTCAAATGGACTAGGCCGGTTACAAGAACGTTTCATAAAGTGTAAAAACAACTCCTACTTAGTTGACAGTGGCCTTTGTGAAAAGAACGCAGCCCTTTACGCCCAAGGCTTACGGAAAACAGGCCCTTCTCCTGCTGTCTAGGACGGCGGTGTAAATTCGGTGTGAGGTAGCTGCTGTGGGAGGTTGTAAGTGGAGCCAGTGAGTTTTGTTTGAGCTGTGGGTAAGGGGAGGCTCCTGACACCGAAGCCAAAGGGAAGCTCACTGCCACGAGTCCATCTGAATGGTAACAAAGTGAAGGTAGGTCTTACTTCAAGCAGGGTGCATGGCCAATGGAGGAGGCGCTTGGGTGAGGCAGGGCTGGGAGGTCCCCAGGTAAGGTGGACAGGTGGGTAAGTCTGAAGAGAAGAAACAGACCACACCCACGGAGGTTAACCTCTAAACACTTGTTTACTTCAGTTCTCAGCAGATGTTTCTCTCGGCTCTTTAAAAGAAAGGACCTTTCTGACTGAGTGGTATCCCTCTGGGAGGCAGGGGGCAGTTGATAGGCTGAAAGTTGGGGACTAGTGCAACTAGTGAACTTTTTGTCCTAGCGTGAAACGCGTGGAGTGTTGAGAATTAGACCTCCACGTGAAAGAGCTAGCGAGGTGCCTCCAGTGACGGGCCTGTGGGCGCTGTGTTGACATGTGCATTGCTCTCAAGGAGGAGCTGACACGCCTGCAGCAGGACATTGAAACCCTGAAAGCTGAGCGCGCCCCAGGCGGAGAAGGAAAGGTAAGAATGACTCCTCGTGTCCGGCAGGTACTGTTGCACCCTAGCTAGTGAAAGGACTCCTAGGGACCAGTCTTAGAGACTGCTGCTCAAAACCACCTGGCCCTCAACACACACATTCCAGGACAAGAACCTCCTCTGAGCACAGACTGGGGCTGAGGCTGTAGACCAAAGCTAAGTGAGGCCTCGCAACATCGACAAGAAAATAGACACACACTCCTCAACTGTGTTTATCCCATGGTTTTCAGACTTCCATCTCTCCGTTTCTTTCCCCTGGACGGAAAGGGCAGCAGTAGGTATTGAGAGCGACCCCGTCCAGCAGTGATTAACAAGATTGTACCGCTCTGGCTGCGCGTGCCAGTTAAAGAGCGCTCGCAGGACCAACCGAAGCCCTGTTTCCCCTTCAACCTGTTCTCCTAGTTTAGTGTCCCTCTGCCCAGTCCACCCCTCGGTTATGCCTAGGATAGACCCCATTTGACAAAGATACCTGGTCAGCTGGTTCTCTGAACAAGGAACTTGATCTCCCAAGGGACTATTGTGGATTTCTGTTGTAGGAGATGACAGTCTGTTTTCCTACCCCAAGTAAGATTGTAGGAATCTTTGTGTTTTTCTTTTCTCTCTCAGATTTTATTCAAGTCTTATTTCCTGAGGATCCCTGAGTTGAGGCCATGAGAGCTTAGCCTGCCCTTAGATTGTGTGCACCTTGTGCCTTGTGAAAATGAGCAACTTGTGGCTTCAGGAGGGATAGAGACTTGTCCAAGCAAACCAGCACCACTCAACCTGCCCCCTGCCACCCTACACCGACTGCCCCTGCCACCCTACACCGAATGCCCCTGCCACCCTCAGCTGCCAGAGGTGTCCCTTCTGTCTCCGTGTGGCTGTGTCACTTCGGTGTTTCTCAAGCTGGCGATGCCACCCCCTGGGCTGCAGAAGCAGGTGCCTCCACGCTGTCGTGGATAATGCAGGAACCTTCTTCAGTGCCAGGAGGGTGCTGGATTTTATTGTTGGTGTTCTTTTTCTGAAAAGTGGTCTGTAGGCCAGATCCATGTGGAAGCCGTGCTTTGCCATGTCAGAGTGCTGGGGAGGCAAACAGCAGTGCCTGGCCATGGAGTGTAGTCCCGTTCCCAGAACTGGCAGTCTGCCTTCCATTTTCCCTAAACTCTGGAGGGACCCTGGAGGCTCATCAAGTGAGTCAGCCTCTGAGCTTGGGTGAGGGGCTTCACAAGGTTCTCCACAAACATTCTGGAGCCCCTTTGTACAGCGCACAGGCTGAGGACTGCCTCTCTCTTTCCTCAGCAGTCACGCGTTGTGAGAGGAACGATCACTTAGATTTAGAGTTGCAATTGAGCCCTATAAAGTCCGGGGCTTTCCTTCGTGTTCCCTCTCTGAACATCAGGCTTGGTCAGGGAACTGCAAAACTGGGCTTGGTTCCACTCCCCAACCCATGCCTGCCCCCCTGCAGACCTCAGCTTCGGCCCAGCCCCAGAAGGCGGTTATCATGTGTTTGTCATTTCAGACCCCCACCAGCGAAGAGCCGCCCGGTGACCTGAGCTCTGTGATGACTCATAACGTAAGTGCTGCGCTCCCCAGGGCTGGTTGTCCCGGCCGAGGGAGCCCTTTTCCCTCCTGTGTATCAGCTGCCAGCTCTGCTTTTCCTCCTCCTCTGTTGGGACCTTGGGGTTAGCATGACCCGTCCGTCCCACACCTCTAGCCCCTCCGATGGATTGCCCTAGGGGGAGTCCCTACAGGCCATGACTCGAGTGGGGTTTTCTCCTGTCCAGGGCCCGGACATCTCAGCTGGGAAAGAGGGAGAGCTGCATTAGGCTCAGCTCCACTCACACCCATAGGCTCTGTGCGGAGGGGGCAGTGTGGAGGGAAATGTGTCGCTGTGGTACGGCACCCCAGGAATCAGCACACTTCTGGAAGGGGCTGGATGGTAAATGTTTTTTAGCTTTGTTGCCAGACTGTTACTGCTATAGTAGCCATAGTAACTGTGCAAATGGGTGGGCATGACTCTGCTCATTAAACCTCTAAATACAGAAGCAGGCGAAAGGTAAACTAGTCTCACGGGCTGTGGTGTGCTGGCCGTTCTCTGTGTAAAGCAGTACATACCCAGGGCCCGACACGCACCGGCTTTTAGGAAGAAGAGAGCCAGGGAACGAGGAGGAGGGCAGTGGCTGCTGGGCTTTGGCTTCCTTCATAGCGTTCCCTTCCCTTTGTACTGCAGCTCCAAGGAGATGTGTGACTTCAAGGAAGTGTCTGGGATCGGCCTTCCTCTGAGTGTGTTGTGTTTGTGGGTGTGCACACTGGAAGACGGGCACTTCTCACCCCTTTTATGACTTTCTCTGGGGCTGCAAATTATCTGCATGTTTCCAACGCATGGTATTTCGTGAAAGACTGCTGTTGTTAACTACCTTTGAGATGTAGCTATGACAGCCGCACGCGTCAGGGTTAGACTGTTGTGATCCACTTGCCTTTCACCCGCTGATCATTTTAAAGTGGATCCCCAGGCCTTTCTGCATCTGAGCACTGCGGAAGCCAGCATGTTCCCGATGCTCCACCATGCAGCGTCCTAGCAGCACACGCGTGTTGGCTGCTGCACAAGAGGTGCATCACCAGAAAGCAAACTGACTTCCCACATGGAGGGCGGGATTTCTGCCACTGAGCCCCAGCTCCTCCCCTCTTTAAGTCGGTGCTGTCCAGAAGGACTTCTCCGGTGATGTTTTTGTATTTGCACTGTTCCGCATGATCGTAGCAGAGAACCTTTACACTGAGTTCTTGTACAGCCACATGTGGCTGGCAGCCATCCAGTAAAGAGCACAGCTGTAACCGTGCAGGTCAGTGAAAACACTGCTCCTGGGGCGTTCTGACACTCCTGGTTCATTCCAAGCCAGCCTCTGTCTGTGCTCATTGGGTTGCTGCAGAGAAGCTCTGTCTGTAATGCAATCAATCGCTGGGTCTCATCAAGGCACCCTAAAAAACGTGACACTTAGCAAAACAGGATGTTCCAAGGGAGTCTGCTGGGCCAATAAATTTAAGGCAGAGGGTCACCTTAGAAGGTATGGAGAAAGGTGGATGGGGGGGTGGGGGGCAGGGCATGGAGTGGAGACCCAGTGCCCATCTGTAGACAACTGGACATCCCCCTACAAGGGGTCACAGGGAAGAGAATAGCCAGTCAGGGTGCAGTATAGCACCGATGAGCACACAACCTTCCTCTAGTTCTTTGGTGCTTCCTTCCCCGCTCTATCATGACCTCAGTTCTACCTTACAAATTGGATTAGACCAGAACATGCACACTGCCACAGGCAAGAGCCCGCCACACAGGGAATCTAGGATAGATAAACCCCCCAGGGTCAGCAATGAGCGTAGAGATACCAGGAAAATCAGGGAGGGTAGGGGGAGAGAGGGGGAAATCGATCACAAGGATCAATCTATAACCCCTTCCCAGGGGGACGAACAACTAACAAGTGGGTGAGGGGCAACGGAGGACACTGTAAGATATGAAAATAGTAATCTATAACTTATCAAGGGGCTCCTGAGGGAGGGTGGGCAGGGAGGGAGGGGGAAGAAATGGGGAGCTGATAGCGGGCTCAAGTGGGAAGAGAATGCTTTGAAAATGATAATGGCAGCATTATGTGCAAATATGCTTGATAACACTGGATGAATGTGTGGATTGTGATTAGAGATGTAAGAGCCCCCAATAAAAGTATTTAATTTAAAGAAAAGTATGGAGAATGTTTTGGGTATTTCAAGGGACTCTGGATGAATTTTCTTAAGGGACACAGGATAATAATAGGTGCTTAGGAAGAATTTTTTTTTTAGTCATTTTATTGGGAGCTCATACAACTCTTACCACAATCCATCCATCCATCCATGTGTCAAGCACGTGTGTACATTAATTGCCCTCATCATTCTCACATCATTTGCCTTCTACTTGAGCCCTTGGTATCAGCTTCTCATTTTCCCCCCTCCTTCCACCCTCATGAAGCCTTGATAATTTATAAATTATTATTATTTTTTCATGCCTTACAATGATAACTGTCTTCCTTCACCCACTTTTCTGTTGCCCATTCCCCTGGGAGGGGCCTATATGTCGATCATTGAGATCCGTTCACCCTTTCTTCCCCAGCTTCCCCTTCCCCTCCTGGTATGGCTATTCTCAACATTGGGCCGGAGGGGCTCATCTGTCCTGGATTCCCCGTGTTTCCAGCTCTTATCTGTACCCGTGTACCTGCTCTGGTTTGGCAGGATTTGTAAGGTAGAATTGGGATCATGATAATGGAGGGGAGGAAGCATTAAGGAACTAGAGGAAAGTTGTATGTTTCATCGTTGCTACACTGCGCCCTGACTGGCTCGTCTCCTCCCCACAACCCTTCTGTAAGATGACGTCCAGTTGCCTACAGATGGGCTTTGGGTCCCCGCTCTGCACTCCCCCTCATTCACAATGATAAGATTTTTTGTTCTGGGTCTTTGATGCCCGATACCTGATCCTACCAACACTTTTTCATCACACAGGCTGGTGTGCTTCTTCCATGTGGGTTTTGTTGCTTCTCAGCTAGATGGCCGCTTGTTTATCTTCAAACCTTTAAGACCCCAGATGCTATATCTTTAGATAGCCGGGCACCATCAGCTTTCTTCACCACATTTACGTAAGCATCCATTTTGTCTTCAGTGATCGTGTTGGGAAGGTGAGCATCATGGAATGCCAGTTTAATAGAACAAAGTGTTCTTGTGTTGAGGGAGTGCTTGAGCAGAGAGGCCCAATGGCTTAGGAAGAATTTTTAGGAAAGTTGAAAACTACATTAGTGAGAGAAGAGCCAAGGAAGTTGTGCCTTAGATTTTTTTCCCCTCATCACCTCAGTGTGCCTGCTACTTCTTCAGGGGTAGCAGAGGCTGTCCTATGAGATCTTTGCTGAAACCTTACCCTGTTCAGCCCTGATCTTTTTGTTCCATCAAATCAAAGAACATTTAAAAGGCCCGCAATTAGAATCTCAAGGATGCCCAGACTGCCATGTTGAAGTGTGAATCAGAGGGCTGGATAATTCGAGGATGGAAACACCACCTTCAGGTGTGCTGCAGACCTAGAGGGAGGAGATGATGAGGAACAGTAACTTCACAAGTTGGTATTTTTGTTTAATAAAGGTTTTTGTCATTTGTATAGCAGTACTTTTGATTTAATATCGTAGAAGCCTAGACAGCAAAACAGCATCATCTCCAAATGTTGTGCAAATGCAACAAAAATTCCATACATAATCATTTGTCATCTTATCATAGTTGGAGGGGAGGAAGGACTTGGAGGTAGCTCGGTTTCTCCTGGTTCCCAGAAGGTAGGGTTGTTCTGAAGTGTGTGAACGAGTGTCAGACTCGCTCATGACTTGTAACCTGACCCCAGCACAGCCCTTTGAGAAAAGGAACATGGGCGCAGAGGGCTGCCTGTGAGGAGAAGAACATACTCACCTTCAGAGACTGAGAACGGAAGTGTCCTATTCCCAGATTACTGTGGCCGTTTCCAATTTTTAGGATGACCTGGACAGACGGTATACTATGGAGAAAGAGAAGCTGTACAAAATCCGTTTACTACAGGTGAGTAAAACCGCGAACCAGAAAGGAAAGAAAAACGTTTACAGAAACATCAGTGCCCTAACTGAGCATGAATTTCCGTTGGCGTAATGAGAAAGTCCATGTCTGAGAACTAGAAAACCTTGGTGATGTGGCCCCTGTTTACCAGTTTTGTCTGGAGTGTGACTGCATGATTTTTTTAAGTGATAATAATAAATGGTGTTGGCATATTACTTTCAAAATCATCTCAGCTTCTTACCCCGCCTCTCACCCAGGGGGCGAGTAAATGCTATTAGCCTTATTTTTGCATAAAGATATGACTTCCAATAGGTATAAGTATTTGCTGAAAGTCAAGTATAAGTAAATGTAAGAGCTAGGATTCAAGTTCCAATGTTCTTTTCTAGTAATTTTCTCCAATACTAAGTGACTATTTTGCCCGTGTATTTAAACAAAACTTTGGTAGTCAAAATTGCATTTTAAAGGCCTAATATTCCCAGTATTTGACTCATGGAAGGTCAAACGCCAAGTGTTAACTCGTGTTTCTGTTGTTTTGTTTGCTTTTAAATTGCATCTGGCTTCAGCCTTCATTCTGTGCTCCGGAAGGTGGGGGGTCGGAGTCTGGTGGGGATGGCCAAAGGTGCCATCGGGCTTAGTCTGATGCTGTTTCTCCCCTCTCTGGCTCTTGCTTGTTATGTGCTGAGCTGTGTGGTTAAACTAGAGCCGCGGTGGTACAGTGGCTGTACCTAGGGCTACTAACTGCGAGGTCAGCACTTGTAAATCAGCCGCTCCCCAGAAGAAAGATGAGGCTCTCTGCTCCTGTAAATCGTTACCGTCTAAGAAGCCCCCAGGGGCAGTTCTCCTGTGCACTAGGGTCGTGCCGAGTTGGAATCAACTGGATAGTCTTGAGGCTTTTGGGGATGGTTAAATTTGGGCTAGTCACATTTACCCTAAGAGCCACACTTGATCGGTCCTTAAAGAGGCCCGGAATGAAATGTTGCAAATGTCTGTGACTACCGAGTGCTGCTTGCACCTTCAGCTTTGCCTAGGATCCTGAGTGTAGCCAAGGAGGTGGCCAACTCTGGGAGCTGGCTGAGAAGCAATGCATCTGTAGAGATCACGTAGGCAGCTCAGTTCTGACTTACAGCACCCTATAGGACACAGTCGAACTGCCCCTTTGAGTTTCTGAGTCTGCACATATTTACAGGAACCGTCAACCTCATCTTTCTCCTGTGGAGCAGCTGAGAGTTTCAAATTGCAAGACCTTCTCTGTATTGGCCACCAGGGTTCAAAGTAGAGGGATCTTCCATGGAAATTACCTACAAAAGGCAGTTCCTCACATGGCGGGCGAGCTGCAGTGAAACCAATCACCTGCTAGAAGGTCTGAGGCAGGGCAGGGCCAGAGGGACGGACAGAACAGAAGTGGGTGGGAAGAGGTTGTGGAACTGTGTCCTGCTGGGTTTAGTATTGAGCAGATAAATGAAAAAGGAGTCAACGGTGAGTTTCTGACACGAGTAATCGGGGGGATGCTTGGTCCATGGAGGAAAGGCTTGAAAGGGAAGGACAGTGGGTGTGGAGTGTGCATAGGCGTGCTAATGAGAACCTTTGGGGCTTTGAGAAGTTGGGGTGCCAACCACGAAGAAAAGCCTAGGAAGGGGCTGTCGTGTGGTGGTGCCTCTGAGCTGTTTGGTGGAAATTGGGTCCAATGCCATCTTGGTGCTTCCTGAGACTATGAAAATACAAACCCACGAGGCCCACGAGGCCAAGCGCTGGTGAGCAGAGCGGTGAAGACAGCAGGGGAAAGGAGGAGTTCCCAGTGAGGATGCCGCCAGCCGCCAGAGGGGAATGGGTCAGGAGGCCTGTGGGACTCACAGAGAGCTCAGGAAAAGGGAGTGGTCAACTTCATGGAGTTGACTCCCAGCTCTTGCTAACTCATTGTGTGTATGTCTTAGTAGAACTTTCCCCTGGGGTTTTCAGTGGCAGGTTTTTTACCAGTAGGTGGATTTGAACTTTCATCCTCTCAGCCACTGAGCAGTTAACCGTTTGCACTGCCCAAGGACCAGAGAGAATGACAACAGGCCAAGGAAGGCAGAAGCAGAGAATCTGCTAGATGTCTCCCAGCGGACATCTGTGGCAATTGACCAGCTCTGTTCCGGGGTGTTGGGCAGAAGCCTGGAGACCCACTGACAGGGAGGAATTAGGAGGCACTGAGCGCCCACAGCTCACAGTAAACGTGGCTGCAGAAGGGAAGAGAAAGAAGTTGATAGCTGAGAGGTGGTGAGTCTTAAAGGAGGGGTGTGTTTTAGTGGTGGCAGGTGGTTTTTTAAGGAGTCAGGGACTGGAGCATATGTAAATGCGGATGGCAAGAAGGCAGTAGGCCAGAAGAGGTTAAAGATGCAATGAAAGGAGAGACCTGTGCCCCAGAGCTTCTGAGAACACTGGAGTCAGATGCCGAGCACCAGTGGGGCGCGTAAGAAATGCCTCCCTCCTGATCACGGGACAGCCATGGTGAATCTGGCTGGAATTAATGATGTTTCCCACCTGGAGGCTTGTATTTTCCAGTGAGTCAGAGCACAGATGTCCTACTGCATGTGGAGCCAGGTGGGAAACGGGAGAGAGGATCAGGGGGCAGAAGAGAGAGGCTCTGAGAACTCACCCAAGTCCTGAGACCAGCAGTGGGTGGCGGAGGCAGCAAGTCACGGCTTCCTCCTCCCTGCTGGCAGCTGCCGGGGGAGAAGGCAGCTGGTGTTCCCTCGCGTGGTCTGCCCCAGAGCTTGAGATGTACACCAGCCCGGCCGGAGCCCCGGTGCCTTCCCAGGGCAGTCAGCATCGCAGTCTAGCCACCACATCCCAGGCCCTGGGAGGGCTGTAATTTAGAAGTCCACGTGTTGCAGGGGCTTGTCAACTAGTCTAAGGGTTTTGAATTTACATGGAGCTGCACCATGGCATAGGTTCTCAGTTATCTGAGGGGCTCTCCTTTTATTCCCTCGTCCCCGCCAGGACTTGGGATCCATTACCCTGGACTTCTTTGTGGTATGCTGGGCTGGCTAGAGGCTGGAGCCCCAAAAGCCCTTCCAATTCAGAAGATCCCTTCCAAACCCCCTAACCTGATGCTTTCTGTGATTCCAGTTCACAGCCCTAGTTCTTCCCATGTGCCATTAGCAGAAAGTCATGACTGCACACCAGAGGGGTGTTGGGCTCGAGGTGCTGGTGGGGGGAGATGGGCGGGGGCAGTTTGACTCCTCTGTAAGGCTTTTAACCAAATAGTATTGTTTCCCACCTGTTTGCATTTAGGCTCGAAGAAATCGAGAAATAGCAATTTTGCACCGCAAGACTGAGGAAGTGCCTAGCCGAGCAGAGCTACTACAGTACCAGAAGAGATTCATCGAACTCTATGGCCAAAGTAGGTGCATCAACACAGACAACGCCTGAGGTGGCCCTGGGGGGGACCGGACCACAGGCATGAGAGACTTTGCTGTGCTGTGCTTCTCAGACAGGGACTGCCAGCACCGGGAAAGCCTTTGTCACAGCCATGCCCACTGCCAGCAACCCTTCACCTTGGTGGTGGCGCTGAAGGCCTCCTGCTGCCCTTCTGAAGGACAGATTGCTTATGTTAATTCAGCTCAGAGCGTAACATTCCCAAACACGTTTCCTGCTCGGCCTTTATCCTTTATCCTTATGCTCCCACTCCTCTTTCCAGCTTTGCACAAAACATCTTCACAGTTATACCTGTTAAAGGTGTACTAAATCACTCAAAGTCAGGTATAAATGCTGCTGGTGATTGCCAAAGAGAGCCCACAGCCTGCCCTGCCTCTCCATGCTATGCTGTGCCTTGCCACCCGCTGGGATGCGCCAGGCCTCGCTGTTCTAGGAGCCCAGTAACAGTTTGGCATCAGGATCTTTGTGATGGCAGCCCCATGTAGACAGCGTGAAACGTTGCTCCGTCCTGCACCGTCTTCACAGTCACTGGTAGGCTCCAGGCCACCGGTCTCATCTCGAAGCACTGTTTCAGACAAGCCACAAGTCAGGATACGGAGGTACTTGAGCAGTTTGGAAGGTTTTCTGCAAGAAGAGAGTTCATCCTCCCCCCTCTCAGTGGAGGACAACACTCTCAGCCCCCCCCTCCCCTCCGAGCAGGCCTGTCTCTGCTGTTAGCCCACCTGCTCTAGGCCCTGCCAGGGTCCCATCCAAGCCTGTTACGGCTGATGCTGCCAGGGGCCCTTCCGCGTGTCACTGCCCTGGATCCCCGCCCTACTTACAAGGTACCAGGTACTTACCAGTCGCCTAAGGCAAGACAAAAAGTATCAAGCCAATTTGTTTACAGTTTACACATGAAAGAGATATTCTGGAGTATAAAACCAGGACAAAGGTAGCTGGCCAAGACCTAGAGAGGAAATCTCCCAAGGTGTTTTCCAGAGAATCAAGGCCAGAGACTGCACAAAGGACCCGTTTCACTTCCTCTTGAGAGAGCTGGGTTCCCTGACTTAGTAGTGTGCAAAGGAACGGGAAGAGAATTCCTGCCTATTAGGCTCTCACTCTGCCTTGATCAGTGTGTAGATATTTTTGAGGGCTTGGGGATACAAAAGTGAATAAGCTTTGACTCTTGCTCCTAAGCAGTGTGGGAAGAGAGTGTAAAGTGTAACTAGTTCCTAAAGTGATGCTATGGAAATGCAGGTAGAGCATCTGGCCTTGCCCAGGGAGGTTGCCTGGGATCAGTGTTGCAGGTGCTGAGCAGTTAGCCAAAAGACTGGGCCCGCCATCATTTACATACATCACCTCCACTCTCCTGTCCCTCACCTCAGTGTGCAGGTCAGGGAGCCGTGTCCTGAGCCGAGTACCTTGCTCGTGCTCACAGCTCCTGAGAGCACATGCATGACTCCCACGGGGCTCTTTCCCACCGTTGTGATGCTTAACTTCTCTGAGCTGTCAGTGTGGCAGGGAGCAGCTGTCCCTGGTCTGCCGCACCTGGGAAATCCCCTCAGTCCTCCAGGCTTCTCCGCTTGTGCCATTGAGGAGAGGTGGCGGAGTGGCCCCATCAACCTTGACGTCCTCTTTCTAGGACACCTCACCTGCAGGACTTCGGAGGCACCCACTGACCTTGATGTGGAGGTTCTTCTGCAGCCTCCCTGGGCTCTAGGCCGGGCCAGTCATGGCGAGCCATGTGCTGTCAGCCTGCGGCCGCTGAGCAAACACACACAAGTTCTGGGCTTTCCCAGAGAACAGCCAAGCAAACGGCCTGCTCCAGCTGCACAGTGCGTGTCATTGTATGTCACAGGAGAGGGCGGCTGTGACTCTTCACTCATATACGGATTTCTTTGTCTTTGCAGTTTCTGCAGTCCATAAAGAAACCAAGCAGTTCTTCACTTTATATAACACCTTGGATGATAAAAAAGTGTATTTGGAAAAAGAGGTAACAAACAACCTTTATCAAATAGAATCATTTAATTAGATAAGCAGTGCTGTTCACCCTGAGAAGTCCAAATGCACTAGGATGGATCCAATTAGTATATGCCAGTTCAGACAGCACACAATTCTTGGGAGTTCCTGGCGTGCTTGGGGCCAGATGTACAACTGTGTGTGTGTGTGTGTTTTTGCAGCACTGCCGGTGTTGATAGTAGCAAAAGAGCATAGTGGCGAGAGCATGGACTTTGGCATTGGACAAATGTAGGGCTCAGCTGAGCCCCATTGTCCTCACCTGTAAAGTGGGGATGAAACTTGCTCCATAGGCTGGTGGTCAAGATAGAATAAGAAGACTGTAAAGTTCCCTGCGCCGGGAGCGTCTCAGTGCATGTTAATATTATCGTCTTTATTGTTTATTATCAGTCAGATAGGTAAAGGCCTCCCCTGACGCCAGAGTGGTGAAAGCGCTCAGTGGTGCAGCCCCAGCAGCCACTCCAGGGGGAACGTGAACAGGCTGCCTCTGTAAAATATGTACAGCCTTGGGAGGCCTGCGGTGCGTTTCTAGTCTGTTCTAGGTCATCGAGAGACAGCATCTACTAGATAGGTACTAGATGGTATTCGAGGCTGTTTCTTTTAAGGAGGTGCCCTGGTGACTCAGTGAGGTAAGCATTGGACTGCTCACCTTGGTCAACGGTGCAAACCCATCATTTGCTCCCCAGGGGAAAGCTGAGACTGCCTGCTCCCCATAAAGATTCAGTGTCCCTGTCTCCGAGGGCCACGAGGAGTCGAATCACCTTTGTGGCAGTGCGCTCGGTTTGGGTTCTTAAGGAGCAGTCGAGCTGGGTTTGTCTTTGTGTCCGGGGCCATGTACAGTGACTGGTGAGGTAAAGCTTTTGCTGAATGTTTGGATACCAGTTGACATCGAGTCCCTGACTCGCGGCAGCCCCTCGTGAGTCAGAGCAGAACTGTGCTCCACAGGCTTTGCACAGCGGCTGCCTTTTCAGAACCGGATCACTTTCGTCCAAGGGGACTGAAGAGATTCAAACTGCAGCCTTAGGCTTAGCAGCCAAGCTTTCACTGTATCCCTGGGGCTCCAGTGTCTGAAGAGATGAGTGTCACTTGGTGGCATTTAAGTCAAACTTTAGGGAGAGTGAAGCCCAGCCATGCTCTGTCCTTGGGAGAGGTAGTGGTGGGTGCTGGCTCATGAGAGCAATCTTGCCAGCCCTAGTTTAGGGTCAGGCCGGCCCCTTCCCAGAAGGCTTTGACTCTTTCTCAGCCATGGTTAAAGTTACTGGAGCTGCAAGAAGATTGTAGGACGGTTAGTCTGCTCACTCTCCCTACAGATATGAATTATCAGAAGCGTTTCGTTTGACCATACGGACGGGACTCTTTAGGGGAAACGATGTCACTGGGAACATGTTGCCCCTCTTCCCCCACCCCTCATTTTATTGTAGCCTCCAAGAACGGTGCTTCTTTCCTTCCACACGAGGTCTCCAGAGAGAAGGCTCACTTTTTCAGTTCTTGAGGGATCTCTCATCACTCTCCCAAATACATGCCCTGCCGCCTATTGAATTGCAACTTGCAGGGACCCTATAGGACAGGGTAGAACTGCCCTATGGTGTTTCTGAGACTTCAAACCTTTATGGGAGCAAACAGCTTCACCTTTCTCCCTCGTCTGAACCTCTAACATTGTAATCAGTTCACAACGATGCCTGGGTTATTTATTTATGTTTTTTTGTTTACTTAGATTAGCCTGCTAAACTCAATTCATGAAAACTTCTCACAGTGAGTATTGCTGCTCTTCCTCCCATAAACACCTGCTGTGCCCTGCACCCTGCCCTCAGCTCACTGGTGTATGGCTGTAGTGTGATTGAGAAAGACATAGGACTGAATGCTGGTGGGAGCCCCACCCTTCCGCCCTGCTGCTCAGCAGAGATGGACCTTGGATGATGTTGTCTTTGCATTCCTACACAAATAGGATGTTAGAGTGAATCAGTAAGATGGAATTGTTTAGTATTTAGGAGGACTTTATAATTTAGGTAATAAAAATCATCTCTGTAATTTGTTTTAAAATAACTTTTAACTCTTCTGTCAAATCATTTAGATTCATGAGCACCCTCTAAGCTGCTTTGTTCATATGAGTTTTTTCCTCCAGAAATTGACTGGCAAGGCCCTCTGGCAGGCTAATCCCACCAGTCTCTGTCCAGCCTGCTACCGATGGCAGTGCCTGCTTCTTTCCCAAGCAGACCCCGCGGACAGGGGTGGCACCTTCATTCCCCAGCACAAACTCCTTTTCCCAAGCAAATGACCCTCGGTAAAGCTGCCTGAGATCTTAATGGGTTATAGGCTTGAGATTTTCTACTGCTTTATTATGTAAAAGAAAAGACAGGTCTCTGATCAGATTCACATAAAGGAGTAACTTACCATCACATGACAGTTCTAAAAATAGCACCAGCATCCTTATTTTCTGATCCTCAAGAGCGCCTACAGTTCGAGAGGTATTCTGCTCTGTCAGCCCACCCTTTGGGGAAAGTCTCAGTTCCTCGTGTGTGGGCGCGTTCTTGGACCCTTCAGATAACAGTACCTCGGCAGAGCTGGGATGAAGGGGTACCCTAAGGGGTCTGAGGATCCAGTCACTGAACTGCTGCTTCTAGGGTTTCTCAGCCCTGGACGTGTTTGTTTGCGTTTAACTTGTTATTTTGAGTTGGGTAAAGGTTTACAGAACAATCTGTTTTCCATTGTACAATTAATACATTGTGTTTCATGGCATTGATTGCAATTCCCACAACATACCAGCACTTATCCCTCTTCCTCCCTGTTTCCCACCTCTTTTCTTCTCCTTTCCACCCCATTCCCACCACCTCAGCTCTGGCCTTGGGTAAATGCTCCCTTTTTAATCACAAGTGATTAATTATCCTGAGGAAAGCCCACCTCCCTAGTGTGGTTGTTCACTGCGTAGATCTCTCTGTTCTTGCCCCCGGGTTTTAAGGTCTCTCAGAAATGTGTAGTCACCTTGAATAGTGTCTCCCAATTCCCAGATTACCAAAAATGGAGCTCATTTCTGAAATAGTACCTATCATAATTCAAAGTAAAAGATACTTTTGTTCATTTTAGTCACATTTTATCGTACATTAAGAAAGTGCATCTTAAGTCGAATGAATAAAGGAGTGTATGTGTGTTAATATTCACATAAGATTAGGTGACTTTTGATCCTCCCTCTAAACCCTGAGATTTCTCAAAAAAACTCACTGCCATTGAGTCGAGGCTGATGCATAGAGACTCTGAGTTTCTGAGACTGTACCTGGTTGAGGGACTAGAAAACCCAGTCTGTTCTCCCTCGGGCTGAAGGTGGTTTGTCCTGCCAACATGTGGGATCGCAGCCCAACATGTAACCACTACACCAGAGTCCTTTAAGTACCTGAGATCCCGTGGGTCCAAGGTGCCTCCAAAGCTTCGATGCTTCTTGGAACACAATCTGGATAATAGACTGACTCCTTTACCCGATCTGCACCCGCCACCCAGCCCGCTCCACGGTGCCACCTCCTAGCCCCACCCCCAAGCCTCTGTTGTGGTTGGAAGGGGTGCCAGCCCCCCACCACTAATCACGGGTTCGATAGGTACAATTGTACGGTTGAGATACATAAATATTATATTAAAGTCATCGAGAGCATGAGAGATAGAAGAGAGATTGAAATACAGGAGGCAGACACATTTCATGGTAGCATGCTCACCTCAGCCCTGCTTGGTGGTCCACGTGGAGAGAGGGGGAGGGGAAGGAGGACAAGGGGAATGGGAACCAGAGCGAGGATGGGAGAGGAGAGGGGGATCGGACAAGAGGTCAAGGGAGGAGCTGAGAGAGAGCTCTTTATTGCTAACCCAGGCCTGTATACCTTTGGGGGGAGTGCAAGCCCACTAATTACAGGTAAAGACATACTGTCACAGAAAGGGGTTGCACTATAGGTTATACGGCAATGAGAGGGACAATCTAGGGATATATGCGCAATAGGAAGAGGAGGGGTTGGGGGTATACACGTGACTAGATTCAGGATGGCAGCCTACTTTTGATGTCACTGAGCCTGTTTGATCTGTTCTCCATAGCAACCATTATCAGGAAGGTGTAAACCCCACCTACAGGAATCAAGCTAATGTGTTCGCAAACCTTTTGGGAGAAGTAGCCTATTGTCCTTAACAGCAGGGAGCGGGAGCCCATCCTTGGTCTGGTGACTGATTGCCTTCAGGGAGGATGTCTGTAAGCAACAGACCTCCCACATTATGCTGGCAAGAAGCCCCTCCTGTTTGGCATGTTTTGGGGGGAGACAAAGCTGGGGAAAAGTCTCTTTATAATCCCACACTCTGTGGTCTGTTTCTTTCAGAGCCATGGCCTCTTCTGCTGCCCGGGACCAGTTTTTGCGCCAGATGGAACAAATCGTAGAAGGGATTAAGCAGAGTAAAATGAAGGTCAGATAGACTCTCTTGATTTGCAATGTAATTTTAAAAGCGATGCTGCGTCAGATTTCATAGCAGTGATGAAGAAACCCCTCGACACACAGCCTCCTGGGGTGGCTCTGGGAACGAGGTCTCAATCCTGAAGAGGCCTGAGAGCTGAGCAGCAGTGGGCAAGGCCGCTGCAAGGCTGTCACCGCCCAGAGGTCCCCAGGCTGTTGTCGGTCTGTGACTAACATGTGCATGTACTGAATCTCGATGAGCAATATTATCCCCATTGTACAAGCGAGTAAGCCACTTTGACCTGCAGGCTCCCTTTTCCTGCCCAGAATCAGCTCCTCTCTCGATGTTTGGACTGTGATGTTCTGGCATTAAGGTCTGTTCCTTAAGACTAAAGGAGCATTTCCATTCTCAAGAACGCCCTGTGAAAGAAAGAGCTAGCCTAGCCTAGCCACTGACTTGTACGCACAGGAATGGCTGAATCGGCATGTTTTGCCGTACATATTTTATCTTTTCAAAACAAATCCTTGTTTCTGAAGGCAGGTCTGCTCTTGTCACATGGGGTCAGAAATCGACTTACCATCACCTGACAATAAGAACATGACCAGTGCAGACAAGCCTGCTACCGTGAGCCTGCGAGCTCCGAGGAGAGAAGACTAGAACAGACAAGGCTGCGGGAGCACTGCAGACAGCTTTGCAGAGCCTCGCTCAGGCTGGGCGGTGTGGCTGTTCCCGTCACTGGACAGGTCTGCCTGTGGGCCCCGTCTTGTGTAAAATAAATTAGACTTGCGGGAAGTTTGAAGAACTCATGCACCACTACGTTTTCCTCTTACCTCTCCCCAGCTGAATCCTAACTCAAAAAAACTTCCTGCCAGCAAGTCGATTCTGATTCATTGCAGCCCGAAAGGGCAGAGAAGAACTGCCCCTCTGGACTTGGAGGACTAACTCTTACGGGAGTAGACGCCCTCGGAGCAGCTGGTTCAAACGATTGAAGGAAGTGTCTTTTACTTCCTTCCTCAACCATCTGTCATTGGGGACAAACGAGATCCCTCAGGCCAATCAGCCACAGAAATGAGAACAGACATAAGCCAGCACGTAGCTTGTGCAGGACAGCTCTCTTGCATAGAGGTAAACGATGCCCATTCTTGAAGATGCGGCAGTGAGCCGGGTGGAGAACAGAACCTGGCCTGTAACGTCCCAGATCTCATGGTGGACTGTCCCCATGAAGTTACTTTTGATCAGAGTAAAGGACTATAAGAATTTATGTGAGTTTCCAATCCTTTAATGAGAAGCCTGTTTACCAGGGAGGCCTTCTTGGGAGAGGAGCTAATTCTCCCCCTTCTCCCTTGAGCAGTGCAGGAAGCTGTGGCTTTGCCCCTTTGTCTGTCTGCCCCACTGGCAGATGACCAAGGCCTCCCAGAGCAGAGAGCACTCTCGTTGGCAGGGCTGCGTCTCCAGTGGCTCAAATAGCACTGGGCCCAAGCTGTTGGCTGCATGAATGAATGCAATCAGTGGGCTTGGAAAGCAAATCTCAAAGAGGTCTCCAGATAGGGTTTGCATTTTGAGCATCCCAGAATGCAGTGTCTATGTCTGCTTTGCACTCCTGTGAACGAATATATTTTGGTGTGTTTCCAAAGAAGCAAAGCCTTGCCCTCTCGATAGCGATGCTGTGATGAGTCCTGCCCAGTTGTGGCTGGAGAGTTGTGTCCACACGGAGCATGGGCTTCCCCGAACCGGCATGCTCGGGGTAGACATGTAATAGAACAGCATTGACTATAAATCAGAAAATAGGCAGGAATGTTCCGTCTAAAGATTTAGAGGGAAAGGACCAGCTAGCTGGTCACAGCTGTCTTCTTCCAAGATAGCTCTGGGTGGCTTCAAACTGCCAACCTGAGAAGTTGAGCATCAATTGCAACACAAAGGGCAAAGAACCTCTGGGCCTTTGTCCCTGGTAGTCAGATGTTTTCTTACCTTGATGAACCTCAACGCATTCTCAGTGCCTGTAGCCTTTGGTCAGAACATGCCTTTTTACTGCTATTTCTCAAAATGTTTCAACAGATGGAAAAAAAGAAACAAGAAAACAAAATGAGAAGAGACCAGTTGAACGACCAGTACCTGGAACTGTTAGAAAAACAGAGGCTGTATTTTAAGACTGTGAAAGAGTTCAAGGAGGTACAACAAGGGCGAGTGGGTGGGGCAAGTTAAAGTGACAGGTGAGAGTTGCCCTCACCTCAAAACGAACTGTCAGAAACCAGATGCGTCTTTGGTGTCTTTCCTCTGGTCCATAATGGGAAGTATCAAGTTGGCTGTGTGTCTGGACAGTAAAGAGTGGCTTCTAGATGTGTCCAGGGAGTGTCTGACCTGTCTTGAAGTGAGTGTCCTACGAGGCATGGTCTTTGTTTGCACACTCGAATGGGAGTGAACCATAATTTTTGTAGCACGTCAAACACATGTATACAGTGGCATCATCAGCCCACATCAAGGCCCACCTGAAGTTCTTCAGGATCCACATCTGGAGGCCTTCCTTTCCGCTGTTCTTGGGCTGGGGCGGGCCACTGAGAATCACTGTGGTTGGACAGTAAACTTGGAAGTGTGATGTGCTTAAAGGTCAGATCCTACCCTTGCCACTTCCCAGTTGCGAAATTGTGGGCAATGGCCTTACATCCCCCAGCACCAGCTTCCTCACTGGTTGGTTCCTGTTAGGTTTAGAGGGAAGCCCTCTGTCGCATGTATGCCAACGGAATGTTGTTTGCCCCCTCCCTTTCCTCCTTGCATTTGGTAGCACTGCTGTCCAGTGTGCCTGAAAGAAAAAAAAATCACCAGCATTTTATTGTACATTAAGTGAAGGTGTACACGGCAAATCAGTGTCCATTCAAAATTCATGTAGACTTTGTTTCATCCATTGAATTCCATCCCTACAGTGTAGCGTCCCGTATCCCACATTCTCCCTGCTTCCTGTTACCATCCACCCCTTGCTAAACTGTCTTGTCTCTGAGCTTTATCTTTGAGCACATGCTGCCCCTTTGATCTCAGATGTTTGATTATTCTAGGGGGTTCCTCCAGTCTCTGTGTGGTCAGTAAGCATGATCCCTGTAATGATTTTGGGTTGTATTCTCCCTTCCTCTCCCAGCCAGTCCAGGACCTTCCAGTGCGGGGCTTCTTTTAGAGCAGTGCTTGTGGCCCCAGGGCTGTAGAAGCTGAGGTTTGCTTGGCCCCTTCATTCATCCATTGGGCAAATTGCTTTGTCTTCCGTTTTCTTTGCTCTCTTTTGCTCTGGATCTGGAGAGATCCATTATGGTGCTTCTAAAGGCTGCTTTGAAGACCCCAGTCACTGTTCGCCAAATAGGATTATTAGAGCACTGTTGATTCGGGCTGTTAGAGCCCCGCGACTGGTCCTGAGTGTCGAGGCCCACACATGCCTTCCCTCGAGATGTGTGGTGACAGCCGAGAAGTTTTCATCCCTTGGCGTCCGGTGGGCTCCACTGTGTCTAGGGGCATTATTTGCAGCACAGGTAAGCACATGTGTAGACCTGCTCCTGTCAACTCTGCATGCCTTCCCGATCCCCTGCCCGCTCAGCTGCGTGTCTGCCTCTGCATGCGTGGAGCTCCTTGGGAGTGTGGGAGTGTGTTCACAAGATTCGGGTACTTCACCCAGTGCCTGCCTTTGCCTTCATCATTTTGGTTGACCGCCCTCTTCGGCGCTGCCTTCCCCTTTTCCCAGATGCGTGTGGGTCTACCCGCTAGTGCGCGGTTGACCTTCCCTCCCTGCCCACCTCTGGCGATCCTCAAAGCCTCTGTGTTGGGAAAAGGTTTTCTTCAGCTGTGGTCATGGGGATCTCAGAAAACGGTTGTCCTTTTGTTACTGTGTGCCGCGTGCTGTCCTCCGGGTTCGTCCGTCCGTGTGAGAGGAGCTCCCTTCTTTCTTTGGGACTCTCTCAGGCTGCCTGGTAGTCTGCGCCATGTATGTTCTGGGGTGTCCACTGATGGTTGCTTTTGTGGGTCATGCTGTAAGGAAGGTGACTGTGCAGATAATCTGGCATGGCAGCCTCTTATTTCCCTACGACATACACCACGTACTGGGGGTGGAAGCAGGGGATTACTACGTGGTATTTCGGTTTCCACTTTCTAAGAAGCACCATTATGTTTTCCGCAGTGCATGGTTTGTGTGTACAGTCCTACCTGCAGTGCTTGAAGGTTCCGGTGTCTCCATACCCTCCCCAGCTGGCTGTTGTCTGTAGTTTTTGACCTGTGCTGTCAGTGCTGGTGTAAGAAGATACTCATTGTTATTTTGATCTGCATCTCTAATGGCTAATGATCACAGCATTTCTTCCTGTGGTTGTTGGCTTTGGTGAAGTATCTTGTCCATGACTGCTACCCATGTCTTCGTAGGATTGCCTTTTTGTTGTTGGAGTTGTCTAGAATTTTAGAGATGAGTCTCTTGTCTGATATGTTCTTGACAGAAAACGTCTCTTTTGTTAATTGCCCTTTGACCCCTAAGACTCTGCTTCTTAGGGTTCGCTGCTCCCTCTGCACGCGTGTCCGCTGCTCCCTCTGCACGCGTGTCCGCTGCTCCCTCTGCACGCGTGTCCGCTGCTTCCTCTGCACGCGTGTCCGCTGCTTCCTCTGCACGCGTGTCCGCGTTCACTGTGTCGTAGCCAGACTTGCTCGGGGACCTGCTGCTTGGTCAGCCAGAGCTGCCTTCTGTCGCTCTTCAGGCCGTTGCTTCTAAGAACCTTCCGCCCTCTCGTAGTCCAAGATTGGCAGCCAGGTGTGTCTGCTGCCTGCATCTTCCCATTTTCAGAATGACAGTGCCTCGGCTCCTGGTCCCTTCCTCAGTCCGTAAACTGAAGATCATTGTAGCTGTTCTGACACGAAGGCTTACCAGGCAGATGGCAACAAAATGCAGACTTTGGTGTGGTTGGTAAAAAGGTGTCTCTAGTGCATTGCTTCCCAAAGTGGGTGCTACTGCCCCAGGGGCACACTGCAATGATGGGGAAGGGGGCCTGCAAAAGAAAATAACCTACTCATTGTGGGGCGGGGTGCTATGGTTACTTTGTTTGTTTGTTCCCTGGAAGGAGGTGTGCTCCAGTGGGCCTGGGGGAAAGACCATTGGGACCGTGTATGCTAATGTCGTGACTCCCTTCTCCCTCTGCTTCCCCTGCAGGAGGGTCGCAGGAACGAGCTGCTGCTGTCCAGGATGGGAGCCAAGACTTCCTGAGAACCTCCAGTGGTCAGCGTGGATCATTGATTTTTTTTTTTTAACTTTCCCTTACTGCCCATATATCAGATCATGAAGTGACTCTGAAAGCTACAGGCGTGATGATTTCAGCACCCCGGATGTGTTCTTCCTCCTGTTCGCCTCCATGTCTCTCTGCTGCTTGCTGTGGGAATCGGATAACGTGAACACTAGTGGCCTCGATAACAGTCCCATCGTCAGATGAAGAACTGTGGGCAGGATCTGTTCCCTCTGTTGACTCAGCTTTCATTTCTGTAGTAATGTTGCAGATAGGAAGGTACCTCATTTTTGTATGGCCTCTCTGAATAAAGAGGAATTCCCTTGTTCAGCAAAGTCGAACTGAGAAGTAGTCACTTAAGGTGACAGAGAGGAATGTAAAGCACAGACCCCGCTCCTCAGACCCAGGTTGCAGGCGCAGCCCCAGAACTTACCATCTGAGATTAAAAAAAAAAAAAAAAGCTTTTAGCGGAATTACTAGCTCCTATAAATATCGGTGCTTTTGCGCCTGACCTGTCGAGGTGGTGACAGAGCAACCAGTGTGACAGCCCCGTACCGTTGGTGTAGTCCTTGACCTCTAAAGTCATTTTCTCCAAAGTCTGAAAACAGGACTCAAGTTGAGGACATTTCAATAGAATTAACCTTCCCAGGCCCGGATTCTTGCAGTGGATGATCTTGTGTAATCCCCTCATTAAAATCCATCTCATGACCCACCCACCCCCAGCCCCCACCATCAACGTATTTTCTTTGCTACTTCATAACTAATTTTGCTACTTTTATGAATCAGGTGCAACCCACATGTTGAGAAGCACAGTGCTAGTCAAGGAAACGAGGTGCACACCCCTTGCACTGTAGTGCACAGCAGTGCACGGGATTCTGAGAGGACAGTGAGACTGAGCGTGCACCCAGGCATCTTTGCAGAGCTTCACACAGGTTTGTGGTGGAGGTAGGATCTGGGCTACATGTGGCAGAGGAATTCGATTTTTATGGGCAGAGAAGCAGGAAGGCCATGTTAGAAAAGCGAAAATTATGATGTAGAGTCCCTGAGGATTCCGAGAAAGATGCGCAGTTCCCACAGACTTGAGGGCGGACTGAGAGACTGGACTTTGCCTTCTGGAAACAAGTAGGTCAAACCAAACACAAAGCTCTCCTGCCCTTGTGCTTATGACTCTGCCATTCAATCATGTTCAACATTTCAGAATCATTTTATTGGGGGCTCATACAACTCTTTATCACAATCCTTTGGGTCAAGCACATTTGTACATTTGTTGCCATCATTCTCAAAATGTTTTCTTTATACTTGAGCCCTTGATATCAGCTCCTCATTTTCCCCCTCCCTCCCAACCCCACTCCCTCGTGAGCCCTTGATAATTTATAAATTATTACTTTGTCATGTCTTACACTGTCCGACGTCTCCCTTCACCCACTTTTCTGTTGTCCATCCCCCAAGGAGGGGGTTATATGTAGATCCTTGGCCCTGAGGGGTTTTATCTGTCCTGGATTCCCTGTGTTTCCAGTTCTTATCTGTACCAGTGTACATCCTCTGGTCTAGACATATTTGTAAGGTAGAATTGGGATCATGATAGTGGTGGGGAGGAAGCCTTAGAGGAAAGTTGTGTTTCATCGTTGCTACACTGCACCCTGACTGGCTCGTCTCCTCCCTGCGACCCTTCAGTAAGGGGATGTCCAGTTGCCTACAGATGGGCTTTGGGTCCCCACTCCGCACTCCCCCTCATTCACAATGTTATGATTTTTTGTTCTTTGATGCCTGATATCTGATCCCTTCAACACCTCGTGATCACACAGGCAGCTGTGCTTCTTCCACGTGGGCTTTGTTACTTCCCAGCTACATGGCCACTTGTTTATCCTCAAACCTTTAAGACCCCAGATGCTGTATCTTTTGATAGCCGGGCACCATCAGCTTTCTTCCACATTTGTTTATGCACCCGCTTTGTCTTCAGCGATCATGTTGGGAAGGTGAGCATCATGGAATGCCAGTTTAATAGAACAAAGTGTTCTTGCATTAAGGGAGTATTTCAGTAGAGGCCCAATGTCCATCTGCTACCTTAATACTAAACCTATAAATATATGCATATTAGATCTATTTCCCCATCATCATATATAAATATATTTACATATGTGCATGCCTGTATTTAGACCTCTATAAATGCCCTTTGCCTCCTAGTTCTTTCCTCTAGTTCCTTTTACTTTTCTCTTGTCCCACGATCATGCTCAGCCTTCATTTGGGTTTCAGTAATTCCTCTCAGTTATATTGCCCTTGATCAAGCCCTACCAGGCCTCCTACACCCTCCTCGCCTTCAATTTTGAATCACATGTTACTCCCTTGTCCCTGGGTTCATTAATACCCATGTTCTTTCCCCCACCAACCCCCGTCTCTTATGTCTCCCTCGAACCATCAGTCTCATTGTTTTCTCCTCCAGACTGTTTATTCCACCTGTCTTATCTAGATAGACCTGCAGAGATAATAATATGCACAAAAAACAAGACAGAGCAAATCAAAACAAAAAGAGAAAACAAAACAATAAAAATCAATGACCAAACAAAGGAAAAGCCTGTAAATAGTTCAAGGTCTGTTGTTGACCCTTAGGAGTGTTTTTCGGTGGAATCTGATGGGGTGCCACGCTCTGGCCCCAAAGTCTATTTTTGGTATTCCCTCGGAACTTCCTTGCTCTGCTCCCCTTGCTGTTCTGTTGCACATCCTTAGTGTTTTGCCTCGGTGTGGTGGGGTCAGATCAGGCACAATTCCCTCACTGTGCCTCTAGTGTTGTCCCCTGTAGGGCTATGGGTCAGTGAGGGATGTCGTGTCTCATAGTGCGGCCGGCTATATGGTCCTCTCTGTGATTGGCTTCTCTGAGCAGGGATATCGTCCTCAAAGCTCGGTGGGCCAGGATGTGCTCCACTCTCTCTTCTTCCTCCTTCATTTGCTCCTGTGTGCTCTCATCTGACATGTCCCTCCCTGAGCTGTAGCTTCATTGTTGTCCTCTGGAGTAAATTCTTCTGCGGGGATTGGAGCTGGCCCCTCCATCCTCTCGACTGGTTCCCTGCTTCATGTTTGTGCTCCTTTCTACACAAACGTTTCACACATGTTGTCCAGCAGGATTGGACAATGAAACAAAAATGTAAATAGGTCAGGCATGTGAGGCATTTACTGTAACCACAGGAACACTGCCTTCATGTTTCGTTCCTTAGCTCATGTGAGTAAGCAGGGCTGGTGTGCACAAACTTAAAAACGTACTGGGGTTTTAGGGCTGAGTTGGAAGGCTGCCTGAGAGCAACTGAGAGGGTGTCCCCTGTCAGCGGGGCTTTTCCTGCACCGTGTCCGTGGGCAGCGGTCATCTGCAGATGTGGAGGAGACTCAGTGAAATTGAGGCTAGGAAGTGAAGAGACGGGTCGTCGTCCGAGGTTAATTAAGGAGAGGCGATGGCAGTTTGGTGGTGTCGGGTTCAGGGAAACTGGATGACCTTGTGGAGGCAGTCATCAACTTGACAGCTAGCTGCTCAACTTTGTGAGAAATTAAGTGGTTCTTGGCCTCTGTGAAAAGGTGGTTTGGTGAGGAGGGGCCGCTGGCTTTCTGGGGTCACTGCGGTCCAGCTCTGTGTTGGTGAGGGAACTGTGCCAAGACTCATGCAAAGCAGCCGATCCATTAAAAAAAAAAAGCGGTATTGTTGTGGGGGCGGGGTGTCTCTCAAGGGCGTTCTTGGTTGGGCTTTGGTGTGGGATGCTGTCGTTTCTCTTTGTTGACTCAGCACATTTGTTTCTGTAACGGGCACATTGTGGATTACGCTTGATAGCAACAGAAGCCCATTTTAGGGATGCCACCCTTGCCATAGAGGAAGCACAGAGCGCAGGCCCTGTGTGGGGAAGGTGCCATAATGTTCCCAAGCTGAGGAGGTGCGCTCCCCCCCCCCCCACCCACCCACCTTCCCAGCTCCTGTGAAGGCTTGTCTTTCCATGTGGTAAAAATGTTCCAAACCCCACTGCCATCTAGTTGATTCTGATGCCTAAAGACCCTACAGTGTCTCAAACTGAATCTCTGTGGGAGCAGACAGCTTCCCCCTCCTCCCTCAGAGCAGCTGGTGGGTTTGAACAGTCAACCTTGCAGTTAACCCAGTGCCTATCCTCCTTGGAAATGCGGTCCGAGCATTTCAGGGGCCCAGAAACAGCTTGATGGCAGTGGGTGTGGTTTGGTCTGTTTCTGTTTGGGGCATAGTTGCTTATGTTTTCTTCGAGGCCCACAGGCTCCTCCCATGTTAAAATGAAGCGTGGTTTTGGAAATGGTGTGTTTCTAAGGAGAAAATGTGTCCTCGGGAGGAACCTACCTTCCCTGGGAAGCGTGGATTCTCCTGCTCTGCCAGAGCATTGATGGCCCGCTGACATGCAGGCTTCCCATGGCTGGCAGCCCCAAGCAAGCCCCTTCTCATGCGTTTCTCCTGGTGTTCAAAAGTCTGCTTTAGCTTCGACCCAAACCAGGGCCGCTATGGGCCGGGTCAGAGCAGATGGCGTGGTGACTGCAGAGACACTGCGTGTTTCTTGTTTTCTTTGGCCAGCCCTCTATCCTCGGTGGGTGTTGGGTCAGTTAATACCACTAGACGGAGATGCAGCCGGGCAGAGGACCGTTGTCCACGTCGCAGGATGTTTCCTTTATGATTGAGGGCACACTTGAAGGGGGTCCCGCCTAAGCTCTACTTGGAGACTGGAGTTTATGGCTTCACCTTGGTCCTGGAAGGTAGCTGCTCGCAAGCTGAATCCTGCCACCAGCAGAAGCCGAGGCACAGAGCTGGCACACACCCGAGGTCTTTCACAGCCGTAGTGAGGGGAGCCTGGCTGGTGGGGAACATCTCCACAAGCTCCTGGAGCCTTGAGCAGTGTGTGGAGAAGGCCTTCAGCAGCCCGCCGGCCATCTCAAAGTGCCGGTCCCAGGACTGCGGGACGAGTGGGGACAGTCCCAGTCCCGTCCTCAGTGACCAGAGGCGCCGTGCATGAAAGAGCGCATTGGCCAGTGTGCAGACGGACACACACCGGTTCCCCTCATTCCTCCTGCCTCAGGTGGCCAAGTCTTGCCATTTGTGCAGGTAACTATTGACAGCTTTAGAGGGAACTGGACCTTCTGGCCATCAGTCTGTTCTGAAAGGCAAATAGTCGGAGGATTGAAACATACTTTGCGGAAGAGTAATTAGGAAGCATCCTCTATCATGTACTCCTGCGGCCTTCAAGTAAGAAGAGCCTTCACAACACGCAGTGGGCTGGGGAGCTCTCTGTCTACCCAGTGCCGAGTTTGATCAAACTCGTGAACCTCCCACTCTCTTCCTCCCTTC